GGCCGGGCTCCGGGCGCTGCCGCTCGCTGCAGCTTCATAGGGTGCTGCGAGGGCTGCGTGAAAATGGCTGGCGTAATTTGGGTGGAAAACCAGCTTTTCTGCTCATCTGTTGAGATTTACATCTTGGAAGCGATGGGAGTTTGAGGCTTTAGCTGCGTCAATGCGCAGGTCCCTCCCTAAAACACTACTTCGGAAGGGAAAACATAGCTTTCTTCCCTTGTTCGCCCTATTTTCCTGTTCCAAATTTTATTTTCCCATTCCCAGTTTTCTTCTTTCGCTTCTCTCCATCTATTTTTTTCTTTATTTTGCCTTGAAAGCAGGAGGGAGAGAATCCGAGACCGGGCAGGAAGCAGAGGAGTTCAGGGGACTTGTTCACAGCCTCAAACACAGCTTTTTCAAACCAGCATCTTTAGCAGAGTCAGGTTTTGCTCCTGAAGTTACTCATCCCATCGGAGAAAAAACATCAACCAAAGGGGCGTCAGCTTTTGTGTTCTCCACCACCTGTCTGCCAGAAATGGCCAATCCACACCCTGTGGCAGATGGACTTTGGATCCGGCTTGGAGAGGACTTTCCCGGAAGGATGAGGATGCTGCCCTGTTCGGAGCCGCTTTGCCGTGAGTGGGATTTAGGACAAACCCAAACTGACCTTTTCCATGAAAGATTTCGGATTTCTGTCAACCCTACAGCAAGCTGAGAATTTTCCATTCCAGGTAACCGCAGGATCAAAAACCTTTGCTTGAAAATTGTCACTTTTTAAAGGTTTTCATTATCCTGGTTAGAAGGGCAGACGCTTTCTGGAGGAGAAGAAACCCAACTTCGCCAGGAAAACCAGCTTCCGACAAATAAGAGTTTGGGGATCGATCGCAGAGGCAGAAGAGCGTGGATGAGCTCGGAAGAGCTGGAAGGTGTCATTTGCCAAGAAGAGACGACGGACACCACGTTTGGGACCCGTCACTTACCCCACGCTGGCTCCTGCTGCTCCGGCCACGTGTCTCAGTGCTGGATAACGGGATGTTACGTGGGACATTTAATCCAGGAGCCACCAACCCTGCTGCCTTGGTTGTACCCTTCTGGAGATGATGCACGCCCGAAGCTTTGCCTGTCGCGGAATAAAGGGAGTTTTCTCCTCCTTTTTCTCCTCTCTCTCTCTCTTTTGGGCGTTCAGCGCCGTAGCA